TAAAGAAAAAATAATGTAATTTTCATGAAAAAGCATGAAGCTTGTCCCACTTGATTTGCTCCATTCTTGAAGTGAATGTGATAGGAGTGCATGATAAGTCTAAATAAAGGCAAGTGATTAACCAATGAATGTGGGCGTGCGAAAGGCCAAAATAATAATAGTTATCACTATGGTAATTATAAAAAGGGAGAAATTCTTTGAAGAGAATGTGACTTGTGATAAACATTGAGATTGCATACTCATTCCTGAAAGTGAATGTGAAAATATATATATGATAAAGATTATGCATAATAATGTACTTGTGCATAGTTGGATAAATACTACAACTCACCTCTAAGGGAGGTTTGAGACAAAGAAAGATAATGAATATTATTGTGTAGTTACATGAATATATCATTGATCGCATGCATGTGATACACCAAAAATATTTTGTCATGCCTTATGAAAGTCATTAAAAGCAAAATTAAAGCAAGAAATTATTTTGCTTGTGATGATTTTGAACATGACAACTATTATGATATGATTCTCTTTGTGAAAGAGACATTCATTATATGGATGGTGTGACAAAAGATCTTGTAGTACAAAAGCAGTTAAAAACTCTGAAAGAACTAATTTGTTACTACCCGGATGAATGAAATTGTTCATGACATTAATATTATAGTAAGTCTCAAAAAATATTTTGATTTACAAAATATATTAGCCAAAGTGATTGGCATATTGAGACTATAAATGAAAAGAAGATTGAATATCTTTATATTACTATAATCATACCGGATAAATATGAAAGGTTACCTGACTTTTCTTCTATTTGTACTACACAAGTATAAGCATGATGATGCAATCACAAGCCACAAACTAGAGGTTTACTGAAATAAATATTAGCTGACATGACCGGTTGACCATGTCGGTTCAATTATGATGCGAAAAAAATAATTGAGAATTACATTGGCATATATTGAAAAAATATAAGATTCTTCAAGAATTCTCTTGTGCTGCTTATTCTCATGATATACCAGTTAAGGTTGGGATTGAATCCCTTGATTTCTGGAACGAATAAAAGGTGATAAATATATGGGCTCAGTCACCTTCCATGTGGACCGTTTACTATTATATGATTTTAATAGATGCATCTATTCTATGGTCACATGTGCATTTGTTATCAACTTGTAGTTTGTCTTTTGCAAGATTGATTGCTCAAATTATTAGAGCACAGTTCCAGAATATAAATTATGATGATTTATCTTGATAATACTGGTTTAAATCCAAGTTGGTTTAGCAGAAATTGTATGCCTCCAATTATATCTAAACCATTGGTTATGAGAACAAAATTGCCAAAATAAAATTTGGTATGTGATGTATTATTTAATATACAACAGCACTTGTACGCATCTAGCCAAGTTATGATAAGTTCTCCCTATCACAATCGGTTCAGGGTCAGGAACCAAATAATTTCCATCTAGAAATATGAATGTGCTATATGATTTAATTGTTCCACCACAGTGCACAAAGATGGATCCCCAAATAAGGCTAGGGATATGTGTTGGTGATCCCAACAATAGGGGGAGAAAATGGGCAGCTGAAAAAGTAATGCATGTAATGAATTATTATGAGTACATCGAGATCCTCGTACGAGAAAATGTGAACTTGAAGTTCAAGTGATAATTTATTTGCAAAATATTGCCAGGCGTATTTGCTGACTCAAAACTAAATGTCATATTCAGTTGTTAATGCTCCAAATAAAATAAAGTTCATAATGAATAGAGTATATGGCATGCATAAAGCATAATAGACTAATCGGATAAAACTCCTTAAAGAAGGAGAGGAGTAAATGTTCAAGACGGTCATAATAAGGAGGCAAGTGCTCTAGAAGAGCACCACGACATAAAACTTCATAAGACCTCATGGGAGAGGCTCAGGTACCTGAAAATAATAAGATAAAGAGATCTCAATAAGTTATGTCTTTATTGGGTAATAGTAGAACCGATATAAAATGATCATCGGCGATATTGTTAATATAATGTAGCGCACAATATTATTAATATTGACGAGGATTTTGAGCTCAAATCTGTCATGAAATTTGGACAGATAAATGATTGGCCAAATAAAAAATACGCAATAAAAATTGATTTCACATGAAAAAATATGAAGTTAGACGGATAGTCCCAACACCTAAAAGTATAAAGCAAGTGGAGGTATAAATGTGTTCTTGTGCGAAAAAAAAGGTCGAGTCGATAGACATAAAGACGACTTGTGTCACAAGAAGATTTGTAAATATCCTGGCATTGATTATATAGAGACATGTTCTCCTGTGGTGGATGTTACCATTTCAGGTTTTAATCTGGCAATACAAGAAGAACGTGATATGCGTATAATGAAAATCATTGAAGGATTTAAATTGTTCTGAAGCATATTAAGGTTTTCAAGAAATTTATTAAATAAAGCTTCAAAAATCCTTATACGGATTGAAACAATCAGGGCGCATGTGGTATAATTGCCTGAGTGAGTACCTGTTGAAAGAAGGGTACAAGAATGATTCAATTTGTCCTTATGTCTTTATAAAAAGATTTGGATCTAAATTTGTTATAATTACCGTGTATGTTGATGATTTAAATATTATTGGAACTCCTAGGGAGCTTCCTGAAGCAGTAGAGCTTCCTAAAGTAGTAGACTATTTAAAAAAAGAATTTGAAATGAAAGATCTTGGAAAGACAAAATTTTGTCTTGGTCTACAAATTGAGTATATGAAAGATGGAATTTTTGTCCATCAATCAGCATATACTAAAATGATTTTAAAGCGATTTTATATGGATAAAGCACATCCATTCCGACCTCATGAAAATAATGAAGAGTTTCTTGGTCCCGACGTACCATATCTTAGTGCAATTGGTGCACTAATATATCTTTCTAATATTACAAGGTCTGACATAACTTTTTCAGTTAATGTCTTAACAATATATAGCTCTGCTCCTACAAGGAGACATTGGAATGGAATCAAACACATATTGCGATATCTAAAAGGGACTACCGATATGGGATTATTTTATGGCAATGATTGCAGTCTTGATCTTGTTGGTTATGCCGATGCTGGGTATTTATATGACCCACAAAAGTTTCGATCTCAAACAGGCTATGTGTTTACATATGGAGGCACTGTCTTATCTTGGCGATCGATTAAGCAATCAATCGCGGCTACTTCATCTAATCATGCTGAGATAATTGCTATTCATGAAGCAAGTCGAGAATGTGTATGGTTGAGGTATATAATACACCTTATTCGAGACAAATGTGGTTTGAAGTGTGACAAACTACCCATAATTTTGTATGAAGACAATGCAGCATGCATAGTCCAGTTGAAGGGAGGATTCATAAAAGGGGATAGGACAAAGCACATTTCACCAAAATTATTTTGCACACATGATCTTCAAAAGAATGGTGATATCAATGTGCAACAGATCCGTTCAAGTGATAATATGGCTGATTTGTTCATCAAATCTCTACCGACGTCAACCTTCAAGAAACTAGTGTACAAGATTGGGATGCGAAGGCTCAGGGATGTGAATTGATGCTCTCATCAGGGGGAGTTAATACATGTTGTACTCTTTTTTCCTTATAAGGTTTTGTCCCACTGGGTTTTCCTTTCAAGTTTTTTAACGAGGCAACCAAAAGGCGTATTTCTAAACATGTGTACTCTTTTTATAGGGTTTTTTCCTAATAAGGTTTTAACGAGGCACATTATCTATGGACATCCAAGGGGGAGTGTTATAAGAAAAATCAAATTATAGTGGATGTCTACTCTTCCTCCATGATCTTCTCAAATGCTTAATGACATATTCAATGACATATTTCTATGCTTAATGACATATTCTTCTCCACTTTTCATGCCTATATAAAGGCCTTGTAATAGATAGGAAAATACACACAATTGAAGAAGAAAATCTCTTCCTTCTCTCTATCTCCATTTCTTGTTCATATTTTACTAAATTGCTTTTATTTCATAACAACGTGTCTTGTTCGTGTTTTACTAAGTTGTTTTTATTTTATAACATATTTTTATTTTTGTTATACCTTTTGTGATGGTGAAAGCATTACTAAAATATTGAGATATTAAAGAAGCAGAAATCATTTTGGGCAGATCAGGGGACGTAAAACTATACTATAATAATGTGGAATATAATAATTAATAAGAGGTGGAAGGAGCCAAGTTGGTAACTCTATGTTGAAGAGAGTCAACTGGTAGTGATACATTGTATGCAGACAGAGACTGGAGCCAGATGTTGTGGAATATATGATATAATAAATGATAGTTTCTACACTCTTCATTGTTTTATTCATCAAAGCATCACGAACGTTCTTTATCTTTCTTTATAAAGAAATTAACTTTGTTTTTTGTTTATAAAAAAGAAACAACTTGATTAATACCAAAAATACATAATATTGTCCTATTTCCTACACCCTTCCAGATACAATTAAAGGTCAAATTATAGCATTTGGCCATAGATTTTGGCTCAAGGATTCGAAATAACATTTGAAGATTATTTTAATAAGTGTTTGCTTATCAAATTGACCCTTTTTTTTTAATTTCACTACAGCATTTTAGGCATTTAACCACCCTAGAAAAGTGTGGCCAAAACTGTCAAAAGTGTAACCTTTGATAAAAGGCAACGCTTTTTAACCTAAGGCAACGCTTTTTAGGGAGTAGCATATACAGGCGTAACCTTTGCTCTAAGACAACACTTTTCAGTGACCAAAGGCCACGCTCTGTGCACACCCCTTATGGCAACTCTTTTCCATCTTATAGCCACACTTTTGAAGTGTGACCTTTGTTACCCAGAGCAACACTTATAAAACGTTGCCTTTCTAACTTTACAAGCCACACCTTTGCTAGCACCCTATGGCCACACTTTTCAAGAGTGGCCATTTTGTCAAGAATGTAAAACATATAGAATATTATTAAATATTTTCAGGTAATTGCTTAAGTATGACGATCTCTCACACTAATAAAATAATAAATAAGAAAAAAATCAAATATATTGCAATGAACCTCGAAAAACAAACATTTCGTGTACATTACATTAACTAACAAAGCCAAATACTTCAAGGTGCATTCTAGCAATATAGTTTACAAGACTGAACATATTCATTAAGTATCATGGCTAATAAACATCACAATTGTCCAATTGTCTTGATCAATAACTTCAAACATATGAAATTGACTTCTCGCCACCATTTTCAGAGCATCGCCAAAAAGTTCCTACATATATTCAAAGTGAACCTAAATATTAGATAGAAACCAATAGCATGCTAGTGCACTCAATTGATGAAATTTCGCCTATATCTTTTTTTATACAAATTGAATGATAATGAAAATCATCAACTAGCTTGCTACCAGAAGGAAAAAATAGCAAAATCACGGTTAATATCAGTGGGTTAACCCACTGAGACATGAACGGTAACCTAATCCAACATGGAAATAAGACATTCTAGCTTTTTTCTTAAAAGACATAGCACTATAGATGTAAACTCAAGCACAAAAAGACATAAAAATGAGAATAGTAAGAAAAGATCACACTTCATATTAAAGGTATTCATAAGAAAACCTTGTACAGAGCAACGACTCAAAGACGTTAATTTAATCAACAAATGTACAACATTTGTAACCAACACCTTTGCATCAGTACAGACTATAGTGAGACGTGTGCACTTAGTTTTCAATGAAAATAGTAAAAGATAAGTTTCGGAAAGATGCAATATGTATGAAAGTAGTAAGAAACAATGTAATTTGGTAAGAAGCAGCAAAAATGGATCCAATATGAATGTAATGAATGACAACTGGAAAATTAGAGCTTCTCGCTTACTACAGTAACAACTTATATAGTCAATCTTCTTGTTCACTTTTATGTGGAACTGGAAAGAACTCAGTGCAAGATCATAATATTGATGCATCAATGTGTATTCCAACAACATAAAAAAGCAAGTAGAGAAATAACTTTTGATATTCTTAGATACATTATTTCAAATACTCGCTTTCAATATATTGCAAGTTTATCATGCATTGACTGCAAAAGAAAGCAGCATTGGGAATTCAAATTTGAAAAACTAGATCTGTTTAATTCCTTCCGTACGAAATGCATATGATATGATTCTAGAATAATTTAAATTGATTTACTTTAGGTAGCTTAACAAATAATGTATTACCTAAGTTTCTAAACAACAAAAGTCTGTTGCTTTAAGTGAATGAAAAAGTGTCAGATTTGTCCGAGTACGTGTCGATCTCACTCCTTCCCTGGAGACAAAAGGAAGAATACAAATCATCAAGATTATATCAAAATATTTTTGAAGTTGCTCCCAATAAGACATCAAGATCTAGTAAGAAGAGATACGATATAATAAAATAATCAAAGATAGTTTACTATCTTACCAATCTGGATTCAGTGCATATGATGGTTCAGACCCAATATAAATAATAAGAGCTGTGCACATCTCATTCAACTCTGCTATCAGATTATCAAAAAACAACCAACTATAAAGAACTGCTTCAATAAACAAAATGTAGTCATCTCTGTATATTTTCTAAGGCACATCAATTCCAAAGATAGCGACTATCTTTTAAAGATATATTAGGTACTCAAGGGAGGAACTGAAAGAAATAGAGAAGATGAATAAATTACAGAGAAAGAGAACTTCGGATCCAGAAAGATATCCAAAATTAATAAAATGAATTTGATATCTTAATGAATCTAGAGTTCATTGTTGAGATATAAAATAAGAACACAGCCCCTAGATGTTCTAAACATGTATATGATGCACGTGATGCTTCTATTTATTAGAGAGGTTAAAAAATACCACGTTAATCTGGCGGGCATTTGGATAGCTTGATTCTTTAACAATATTATTTATGAGCGAATAGAAAAACTGGCATTATTGTCACTAAATCTGAAAATCTCAAACCTGAACCAGCTACATAAAGACGTTGCTTTTCAAATTTGAACCTTAGCAATAGATATTTTAAGACGCAATCTAGACTAATAAAAGTTTTAGAATAATTAATGACGCAGCAACTATTGGTTTCATGTGCAATGACATTGTTAGCATCGGGAACCCGAGTAGTGCGGAATATAGCCAAACAACGGTATAATAGCAATAACAAAGACAATAGAAGTTGATAACAACGACAACTAAAGTAGATAAAGAAGACACAAATTTAACGTGGTTCGGTCAAAGTGACCTACGTCCACAAGCGGAAAGGAACAATTTACTATAACAATAAGAGTACAAAAGAGAGTACAAAATTAGAGTAAACACTCTAATTAATCCCAAATACCCTAAGAGAATAACCTCACAATATCACTCCAAAGAAAGGGTTCACACAAGTGCTTCCCAACACTAACTCTCATACAAAACACTCTTAATAAAGGAAGAAAGAAAGAAACAAGAATTGAAGACAAGTCTTGTTGGTGTGTCTAAAATGAACTAATGGCCTTCCCTTTTATAGGCAAAAAAATCTTTACCTCTTAGGTGTAAAAGAAGAGATACAACTTGTGCAAATGATGTCCAACACACAATGCAATATTTTTGGGTCCCAAAGAATATAGCCAACAAAGTCTACACTTTGCAAAGATACTTATACTTATGTGAGATGGACTCCATTTGACAACATACTGGCCATATTACAAATCTCCACCTTGGCCTAATTTTGGATGATATAGTAAATTTGCCCCACCTTCTCCGCAAAATCCCCAATGGGCATATGTCAAAATTTAATGCCATCAAAATCAGACAAATTGTCTGATACCGAAACTGTAGTAGGGCCTATAACAGTGGATCTCAATAAAGTATACAACGAACCAAATCTGTGTGCTTTCATGATCAAACGAGCACCTTGAAAAATTTTCAAAACTCCACCTTTACCAGTGAATTTGCACCCAAGGAATTCTAAAGTGCCTAGAAAGATGAGATTTTTCTTCAACTCAGAAACATATCTAACATCGGTGAGAGTTCTCACCACATCATCGTGCATTTTGACCCGAATTGTACCTTTGCCAATAACGTTACAAGTAACATTGTTACCCAATTGGACAACTCCACCTACAACTGAATCATATGTAGAAAACAAGTCCCCGCTAGGACACATATGATATGAACAACCGGAATCTAAAATCCACTCATTGTCTAATCTGAAACTAGTTTCAGTTGCTAAAAATATAGTTCCCTCAATCTCATCAGTTGCTACACTAGTTTCGGCGGTGTCAGTATTTTTGTGCTCATTTTTTCTTTCTTTGTGCTTTTCTTTATTTTTCAGTTTATAGCATTCAGAGATATTGTGACCTTTCTTATGACAATAGCGACACTCTAAATTATTGTATCTAGAATTGGAGTCGAATTTGCCCCTAACAAACAAGCCAACTTCCGCTTGAGTTCCACTAGCTTCCCCAGTAATATCACTATCTATCTGTTCTTTTGATTTTAAGATAGATTTAATATCCTTATAAGAAATATTATCCTTTGCATAAAGCATAGTATCTCTTATATGCTTAAAAGATGAGGGTAGAGAACAAAGCAGTAACACGGCTTGATCCTCATCTTTAATTTCAGCATCTATATTACTCAAATCCATAAGAATGGAATCAAAGGTGTCAAGATGAGAGAGAATAGAGGTACCTTCACCCATACGAATTGTATAAAGCTTCTGCTTCAGGTAAAGTCTATTTTCTACCGTCCTCTTCATATATAAGGTTTTCAATTTTTCCCACATGCCTTTAGCTGTGGTTTCTACAGAAACTTCACGTAAAACCTCATTTGAGAGATTTAAAATGATACCTGATTTTGCCTTTTTGTCTATGATGGCAAACTCCTCGTCCGTCATTTTATCCGGCTTCTTCTCCTTTCCTTGCAACGCCAAGTCTAAGCCATACTGAATTAGCATAGCTTCCATCTTTAATTGCCATATTCCGAAATTTGCACTTCGGTCAAATTTCTCAACATAGGTCTTTGTTAAAGTCATTTTGGCTATTGAAAACTAACCCGGTTAGATCCGGCTCTGATACCAATTTGTTAGGATCGGGAACTCGGGTAGTGCGGAATATAGCCAAACAACGGTATAATGGCAATAACAAAGACAATAGAAGTTGATAACAACGACAATTAAAGTAGATAAAGAAGACACAAATTTAATATGGTTCGGTCAAAGTGACCTACGTCCACAAGCGGAGAGGAGCAATTTACTATTACAATAAGAGTACAAAATTAGAGTAAACACTCTAATTAATCCCAAATACCCTAAGAGAATGACCTCACGAGATCACTCCAAAGAAAGGGTTCACACAAATGCTTCCCAACGCTAACTCTCATACAAAACAATCTTAATAAAGGAAGAAAGGAAGAAATAAGAATTGAAGACAAGTCTTGTTGGTATGTCTAAAATGAACTAATGGCCTTCCCTTTTATAGGCAAAAAAGTCTTGACCTCTTAGGTGTAAAAGAAGAGATACAACTTGTGCAAATGATGTCCAACACACAATGCAATATTTTTGGGTCCCAAAGAATATTGTCAACAAAGTCTACACTTTGCAAAGATACTTATGCTTATGTGAGATGGACTCCATTTGACAAAATAATGGCCATATTACAGACATTGTCCTGCCCCTCACTCCATCCTTGGATGCTATAAGAGTTCCTTTTAATTCCTTGTCAATAAGAATTCAGTTAACGAATTATCTAAATTAAGATAATTGTGTACTCATCATAGAGAGAAGTTATCTATTAAATTACAAGTATGTTACCTATAGGAATTCAGTTAACCAATGAAAACTTAAGCCTCAACACTAAACTACCATTTCTCTTTCTCGTTTTCACATTTTCTAAGATTTTGACTAAGCATATTACTAACACCAGTAAAAATGTCATTAATTCATCGAATAGTTGAACATAATACATATCTAAAGCTTGAATGATTTATTGCACGTCTCCTACCAACAGAGTCATCATAGATGATATTTTCCCCAATTCTCCACATCTAATTAAAGAGAAACTTTAGAGTCTATCCACCATTGGAACGAAATGGAGCTAGTTAAACATGATAAAACACAACAGGTCTTTGACCAAAATTTCAAATTGAACAACTAAAATTAACAAGCAGACCTTCATTTTTATAGATCCATACAACAACAACCAAAAAAAAAAAAAACTAGTGTAATCCCACAAATAGAGGTCCAGAGAGGATAGTGTACGCGTCCTTATAAAAAGAAGTTCCAAATTTTATAAATTAGCATTCTCTTTCTGTCAAGAAATAAACTTTTTTTTTTTCTTTCTTTGCTTTTGAACATTGTTGGCATAGCTTATAGTATCATATAATGAATACATAGATAGGCAAAAATTGACCCGATGTTAAAAAAACTACTGTACCTGAGAGACAAAAAGGCTAGAGAGTGATTTCATACGTGCCTAAGATTAAAAGGCTCAAAAAAATAAGAAAATCACAGAAAAAACTCAATAACTCATCTGAAGCAAAGCAAAACATGGCTAGGAAGAACTCACCATCACCGCAGCTTACTGAACAGCAAACTTCAATGCTTGATTTGTGCGCTTCGGTTTTAAGCCCTAACTCTTTGATGGAGCCCTAACTCTAATAATTTTATCAGCGAGCTATCTTTATTTGACAGATTAATTTGGGTTTGTCAATAATAACATGCAACCACATTTCAAACAATGGTAGTAAGCCCTAACCCTTCAAGTGAGAAATTTGCTTGATAGATCAATTTGGGATTCCTACAGGCGTGTGTTTTACAAAACTGCTATGGGTGGAATTCTTATTTTTTAACTTTTAAGTTTTAAGAGGGAATAGTTTGAGCCAAAATTTTGTTTTATGATGCTGCTATGGGTGGGAGAGGTTTTTTTCTCAACTATGGGTGGGAAAGTTTAAGAGGGAAATTTTAGCCAAAATTTCGGTGAATATTAAAGTCCCGTTTGGCCATAGATTTTGTCAAAATAAATTTGTATTTTATTTGGCAAACATATATTTGGCCATAAATTTTGTCTATATTTTGGCCAAATCCTAAATGCCAAATCACAAATCACAAAATCAGCTCAATGTTTTAGGCCAAAATATTACTATTATATTTTTAAAAATTACCCCAAACTTTTATATTTTATAAAAGAGCCCACCATTTATTATTTTGTAACGATGTTGCTTTGTCTTCTCGGTCATCTGATAGTGTATCATATAGTTCATTATAAAAATGATAATTTTGTATCAAATTTATTTATGTTCAGGACTATGGTTTGCGATAATATAATGAATGTTATTGATAATTGTATTGTTGGATATTTGTGATAGTTTTTAGAACTTGTGGGTATAAGTCATGTTTCATATTTTTTCAAACCAAACTTCACCCAAAACAGATGTCCAAACACATTTTCATCTTCAAACCAAACTTCATCAAAACCAGATTTTTCAGAATAAATTTGGGAATATATGGCCAAACGCTAGCTTAGACTGCGCGTCTACTATGTTGCTTTTAGCAATACAAAGGACATTACTTGTAAAGCGTAGTAGTATATGTCAGTATTTGTTTGCACTTAATAGAGGTATAAATCTTAATCATTCACATCTCAGATATTAAGTCGTTTGTTTTTAAAATCTTAATCTTAATTGTTCAGATCTTAATCGTTAAGTATATTTATTTTTTTTATTTCACAACCACTTAATGGGTCTGAATAGGTCTGTATCATTAAAATCTATAACATAGACTTAATTTCATTAAGATGCTATCATCCATGTTCATTATTAACTGTCGTCACCGCCTGCCATTATAAACTAGCACCATGCCATTCACCACCACCATCATCCTCAATCATAGCAGCTATCATTGTCGACTGTCACCACCCACCATCCCCACCACTCCCACCACTATTATTTTCAACGACAACCAATACCCATCCACCTCAACTACCACAACTAACCACCCCATCACCATTATAAACTACCACCACCCACCACCATCTTTCTCAATCACAACTACCCCCACCATCATCCGCCATTATTAACTATCACTACCCACCATCACCATCCTCAATTATAATAGCTACCACTACTAATCACCACTAGCTACTACCCCAAAACTACCACCATCAACTAAATTTATCATCATCCACCGCTTTTAGTCGACATTCACAAGCACTACTGTTAGCCATCACCGCCAGCAACTATCATATTTTAAAAAGCTATATATTTTAGTGATGGAATATTAGATTAATTAGTATTTTATTTAAATTTTATGTTTATTGATTTTCAAATAAACATAAATTTTATACATTCATATGTTAAAATATCAAACAATCTTTATCATTTAGTATTTAGATCTTAATACACAACTTAACATTCATATGTGTATTCAGATTCAGATGTCTTAATTTTAATACACATCTTAATATTCAGACGTGTATTCAGATTCATATGTCTTAATCTTAAAAAAAACAAATGAGATCGTCCCCATGTTATATGATTTTGGCAACGCTTAAGCGATGTGCCATTTCTATTAAGAGAGAACGTTTTAGAAGCGTTGCTTAGTAACCGTTGCCAAAAGCCCGTAATAAAGGCCACATAGATAGAAGTGTTACCGTGGATACCTTTAGCAACGCTTTCAAGTGTTATTTAAAATAAGTGTCGCCTTAGGCCGAATTTGTTATACTTGAAAAATTGAAATATATGATCAACGGTGGCGGAGCCACATTTAGTCAAGGGAGGTCAATCGACACTCATTCGCCGGAAAATTATATTGTATTGCTACATAAATATTTTTGTTTAATGTATATTTACTATATGTTGACTCCCCTAAACTTTTTGATGTATATATTTTTTATATTTTGACACTTCTTGATGAAGATTCTGGCTCCGCCACTGATGATCAAATGTTTGAAAAATAAATTTTAAGAGTTCTTTTAAGTTTTCACTAATAAGACTTTAACTTGGTAAACCCCTTTTCAACTTCAAATACTACTTTTCTTCGAATCTCAACCAACTCATGCCCATCAGCTAGGGCTGCTTATCGGGCGGATTGGGCGGTTAATTACTCTTAACGGTTATCGGCTTTTAAATGTATTAATCCGCTAGCCACCTGATAAGATATCGGGCGGATTGGTATCGGTTTAGCTCTTATCGGGCGATTTATCGGCCTAATTCGATCTATATTGCGTGCATTAATTATTTGTTGACCGCCTAGCATACAAATTCAGAATATAAAATTACACAATGAGTCGAGACATACATGTATGATAACGCCTACATAAGAATGATGTAGTGTGTCATGTGGTATAGAGTGAAAAAAGCAGAACACATTGTAGTCTACATTACATCCCAAAGCAAGACTATGATATGATGTAATTAAGGAAAAAATAGTTCTAATGGATATGTCACTATAACTCTTGTTAGCTATAACATGGATCATACAAGGATATCAAATTTCATTGAGATAACTATGTGATTGCCTGGGTTTAGATGCAAAGGAACAATTTCAATAGTTTAGCTCATTAAATATAATGGTATCTAAGCTTTTATTAATTTATTCATAGCACAAACGAAGCAAAATTATAATAAACGTGCGGTCCTTCCCTTTGTTTCTTGTTCATTAACAATATATTAATAATCAACACAAAGGCTGTGCTGGATCCATATTTACAATTTTAAAAAGCAAAAATATGAGCTTGCTCTTCATACTAGGGCACTAAGATAGAGTGTTGGAAGCCTGAAAGTCGACGAGATAGAGTACTGCGGATGGCTGCTGGAGTGCTGGTTGAATTTCTACTGAAGCTAGTTGAATTATGGTCGAATAAAGAGAANCTTCGATTTTCGGTTTTGATTCGATTTTGAACACCCCTACCATCAACCTAGTAATGTCTCATTTGTTTCCCCGTGACTTTTGGAATACTAAGTACAAACTTGAGTGGCTTTTTGCTATAAAAAATAGTTTACTGATTTTCTTACTATTTAGAAAAAATTGAGTGAACTTTTTAGTTATAAAAAATAGTAGTATTATAATAAATGTAATATAAATGACTATCCACGAAGTTAACATGTTATTTGATAAGGACCTATTTTTTTTTAAGCCGAGAAAAATTAAAAATAGTGTGATTTACAATTGATAACTAAAAATTGGCCACGGTCTTAAAAGTAATCGAAATATAGCCATTTTTTCAAGTAAAATTAAAATCATAGCAAAAATACCCTTAAAATACAGAAAATTCCACCATAATATGCTAGAGTGCAAACTTTTTACATATGAGATTCCATCATAATGTGCTGGAGTTTCAACATAATATGCTAGAAGTTTACAAGCAGGAGCTCCACAATCTAGCATATTATGCTAGAACTCTCCGTATTTCAGCTTGTGTATTTTTGTCCAGATTTTTATCTTTGCATAAATTGTGGCTATTTTTTAATTACCAATTCGAAAACTGGCTAACTCATATTATTTTTGGGATCTTTACACAAATAGCCATCCATATTTATTGTTTACTTTTTCTAGCCATATACATAGTTTATACATTGATTAGACATAATTATATATATAATGCATAAATTATGCATATATTATACCTTCACTGGCTATTTTTAGTTTAAGCGATTGGCTGGACGACTATTTGGGTTAATTATTCATTATTTTTACGTTTAAACTCAATTCAACCAAGCCCAAAAGGCCAAACCAATGATTATCAAGGCCCAGCGATCCATTTCATAACAACCCATGGACTCCCATTCGGGTCAAGCCGAATCAATTACAGTAAATTGCAAATGAAGGTCACCTTTTCTTCTTCTACTGTAAGCCGGTAGAGCTGAGAAATAGCAAAAATGAAAAAGCAAGTGTTAACTTTGACAGAAGCTGCGGCGTCGAGAATACGGCAGCTGTTAGAGCAGCGTCAGCGTTCTTTCCTTAAGCTTGGCGTCAAATCTCGCGGCTGTAACGGCTTATCTTATACCCTCAATTAGGCAGGTTTCCCCCATCTATCAAATTGGTTAACGATCTTCTTTTTAAGCTAATGTCAATTATAATTTCCTGTTTGAGGTTTGAAGAGTATAATTGATCTTAAACCCAGATTAATGGAGGACATTTGCAATAGATTATATATTACATCCAGGTTAAAAATAATTTAATATTATGACCCATGATCATTTTAAATATAGGAAAGATTTGTATACTGTTACTTATATTGGAAAAAAATTTCTTTCAACCAGCTTACTGCTGCTCATTTGTATAATCTAAGACTTCTTCCCCAAACTTGCCTAACATTTTTGAACTGATGATTTTGGTTTTGGAAAATGAATTTTGATTCCCCCAAAAAAAAAGCTTTGGAAAATGAATACCATATTTCTAACTCTTTTGCCATTCTCGGAGGCGTCTTTTATAATGTGCTAACTGTTAATTATCTGAATCTGCTGAATAAGGAATGTCTTGCATCGCTTTCCGTCATAATTTGAGCTGCATTTAGTGTATAATTGGTCTACTGATAGTTTGAAGTTTGTCACGCTGAGTTAAGTCAGTAGAATATATCACTCATCAAATGTGTACGTGCAACAACAACAACATACCCAATGTAACCCCACAATTGGGCTTTGGGAGGGTAGAGAGTGCACAGCCTGACCCCTACCTTGTGCAGGTAGAGAGTATGTTTCCGGTAGACCCTCGGCTGAAAGCAAGCAAATCAAATGTGTGCGTGCAGGCACACAGAAAGTTTTTTGTAGTTAACAACAGCAGTCTTTATTTATTTTGTGCTTGAAGTTTCAATATCATGCTAGCAACATTTGCATATAGCTAGTTCTACCGATTTGTGCAAGCATGTCCCTACATATTATTCTGCCATTTTGACTAATCATAATTAATTTTCTTTAGAGCTTGCCTATTATAAAGATTAATAA